ATTATAACTTCATCAGCAGATCTGAGATTTGGAGCTGTGCTATAAACCATCACATAACTCCAGGCTCCACTTGCAGACAAAACACTGAAATAATAAAAGGTAGGTGTTAATGGTCACGCCTGTGCAGTGCATGATGCTAGATATCGTGACTGCAGTTTGGTTTTATTTTTCTAGTTTTAAACCGTCTGGTGCCTCATGTGACTTGCAGCTCAATACTGACCTCTGTTATAAATGTTAAACTTTTCAGTGATGTTATTTACTGTTGTCAAGTGTAAAGTAATATTGTGTTTTGGATCTGTTGTAGCTTAAAAATACCACCTCAAGGTACTGCACGCTAAATTCTTGATTGCATCACAGCTATACATTACATTTTCTTCCAACTAAAATTTGCCTAATCTTCTAATTTTGTTGAACCACTAAGTTTCCAGATAAAAGCTGGACTTCTGCATGTGACGTAAAGAAATTTCACTATTAGAGGCTAATAAAATACATCCAGTTTTACTGAAATGTAGAGCAAGACTATTTTTCTTGTCTATAATAATGACTGAGTCACAATAATTTGTGAAGCTAAATTATCTTACTGCACTTTATGCATTTTAGAAAAACCTTTTGACTGCTTGTGCCTCCTAATGAATACCAGTAAAACGACAAGGAATTGGTTAAAACTGACACAGTTCTTGTTATTGCAGGATACAAACTGGATGGAGGATAAAACTGCAAAATAGAGGGCAAAGACTCTCTACTGAGAGTTGTGAGAAGAGAAATGAAGGGAGGACTCAATAAAGGCCGAGTCTGTCACCATCTGGCTGCCATGTTTCTGTGTGCGTTTCCATCTGGTACTGTGTGGTCACACCTACTACACTCGAAACACATTCTCATGCTACCCAGTCCAATATCACGTCAGACTCTGCAGGTGGACACATCCTGACATCAGATACTGAGGATACAGACTTATCTCACTGAACGCCAACCTGACAGGAAGACTGGGAGCTTGACTGACAGATATCTGGAGTTTGGACGGGATCCAGGTCTGGGTTATGGCACTTAGTTTAAAGGAGGTTAAGAGGAGACAGGAGCAGAGGAACTGGGAGAACAGTTTGGAAGACAATCTGAGAGCTGCACAGCAGGAAAAGAGACAAGGACTGAAATCTAGACAGACAAACGTGCTCCACCATACCTCTTCTACTCGAGTTGCTGCCAAAAATATATAAGCTTCATCCACTCATACTGATTCTTCTCAAAACGCATTCTTGTCCTTAAGCCTAAAATTGGCACAACTGCTCTGTTTTGCTGCACCTATTTGCATAAAACCTTCTGCTATGTGCCCCTTCTTTGCACTGTTCTCTGTTTTAAATCGGTTACAAAAGCCTGCATGGAACCTCCTTATCAAAATGTCCAATTTAAACAATGCAAAGTCCAGTTTTCTGCAGCGCAAAACAATGTTGAGCTTGGGAGGAGACACGCAACCCAAAAAACACACTGCCCATGCTGAGAGAGACAAGAGGAGGACAGACAACGGAGTAGGGGGTTAGAGATTTAGACTTTACAGACTGGGTGAAAGAAAACAATTAGGACAGAGTAAGGAATTTATGATTTCCTCTGTACCTCTGTTTCTTAAACTGACAATCTGACAAGTAACTCTTACAAAATCTAGGAATGTACGCTTAATACCCATTTTCCTGTCATTTCGTTTCCAGTTTTATATTCCAGCTATAATTTTGAACCAGAAAGAGGAGATAAGTGGGGTCTAAAGCTAAGGAAGGGGTGGTCAGGATCAGATTTAAGCCGAGAGAGAGAGAGAGAGAGACAGAGAGAATGAAGAAACAGGTCACAGCGGGTCATCTTCTACAAAAACAACTTAATGAGACTAAGACTAAATTTCAATTATATTTTGGAGGTAAAAGCAATTTCCTTCAATATCAGTGAACCCTTCTCCAATAAGTTCAGTAAGGCTGTGTGCATTCACTGGGGGGATATTGCATATCAGACCCAAGTAATGTAAGACAGTGGAATGAAGAAGGGAATGTCACTGAGGGAATCTTTAAATACATGCTATAATATAACACAGGTTTAATAGACACATGATGTGCCACTGCTGAAGTTGCTCTATCTTACATCTGAGTGTACCTTTGCTCCAGCTTCACCTCAGGTTAATAGGGTGAATCCATCTTTATGACTCGGACACATTTCTGCAGCGGGTTAGTGGACCTTGAAAGTATAAAGCTAAACTAATCTCTGCACAAACTGCACTTGCAGAGATTTCCTCAGATATCCTGTCTCCATACTTGTCCTCTTAGATCTCACTGCTGCTTTTGACACCATTGATCACAGCATCTTACTGCAGAGACTTAAACATGTTATTGGGATTAAAGGAACTGCGCTAAGTTGTTTCAAATCTTATTTATCAGAAAGATTTCAATTTGTTCATGTTAATGACGAATGTTCCACACAAACTGAAGTTAGCCACGGCGTTCCACAGGGCTCTGTGTTAGGTCCAATTCTCTTCACTTTATACATGCTCCCTTTAGGCAATATTATCAGGAAGCACAACATAAATTTCCATTGCTATGCAGATGATACTCAGTTATATTTATCTATGAAGCCAAATGAATCAGGTCAGCTGGTCAAACTTCAAGCATGTCTTAAAGACATAAAGACCTGGATGACTTCTAATTTCTTACTTCTAAACTCTGACAAAACTGAAGTTATTGTGCTTGGGCCTGAAAACCTTAGAAATCTGCTGTCTAATCATATAGTTACTTTAGATGACATAGCTCTTGCCTCCAGTACTACTGTGAGGAACCTTGGAGTCCAGGCTGGACTACTGTAACTCTTTACTATCAGGATGTCCCAATAATTCCCTAAAAAGCCTCCAGTTAATCCAAAACGCTGCAGCGTTCTTGATTATTGTGTCTTGTTGCTTTTCTTCTTTTGTCTCTCCTCTATCCACTCACCTCAACTGGTCGAGGCAGAAGGACGCCCACCAGGAGCCGGGGTCTGTCAGAGGTTTCTTCCATTAAAGGGAGTTTTTCCTCCCCATTGTCACCAAGTGCTTGCTCAAGGGGGATTTGTTGGGTTTTCCCTATGTAATAATATTGATAACAGTAAGGTCTAGACCTTACTTTGTAAAGTGTCCTAAGATGACTTTTGTTGTGATTTGGCGCTATACAAATAAAATTTGATTTGATTTGATATCATACTGTAAATTCCTAAAAGTATGTGGTTAGCGGTTTATATGTTCAGGCTGTAAACGTCTGAAAAACATCTGGAAATGTACCAAAAGCCCTAGCCAAGATGTCTTCACGTTAACTACAGTACACAGTGATTCAAATGTGAGCTAATGCTGCATATTAGAAAAAAGTGGCACTTAAACAGCCTGTTCTCATGATCTGCTTGGATCCTGGCAACAGCTTCACCCGATTGAGGTCAAACATGATATATATGTAGGTTATGTTTATAATGGAGGAGGAGATTAAAATAGGCTTGGTGTCACACTTGGAGTACTAGGGAAGGCATATGGAAAATGAGGACATTAATGCCATAGCAACTCAGGCAAATCTCCACACATTTCTGCAAGTCTGTAATTTAACATTTCAGCTTAAAGGTCTAAAATAATGAGCGTGAATGTGCTGAACTCTTTCAGCTGAACTGAGCTGACTAGGCCCTGTGGAGCTCAGACTGGAGTCCTTTTAGTTCAAATCACAATCACTTCATTCAACAACTTCCATCAATGAGCCTTTCTTGGTAAGCCAAAAACACACTTGTACACACTCACACACAGAGACAGATATTTTGCATGATTTCTGTCTTATTCAGTATTAAGCTATTGCATATGCATCCACTCATTCATTCACTGGCATGTGTACTCGCATGCAGACACATAATAAAGAGCTTCAAAACAAACTGGTGAACATATTCTCCTCCAAAGTGTCTGTAAAACAACCTGCAGAGGCCAAGGTTGTGTCCTTAAAGGCAGGGTCCAGTTTCACACAGCTGTCCTTCTGGGCATTACACCACCACCATTAAACCTCTTCTGTTTTTAGATAATTACAAGGGGTAGCAAGTCAAGCAGCAAGCCTTAACAACCAAATGTCCAATGTGTATGACTTCAAGCCTGACAACCATCATCCAAGAAGACGAGTCAAGCCTTAAGAAGTCATCAAAATAGCTCCAGACATGGGAAAAGGAATGAAGGGCGGTGCTTCTGTTTGCTCTGCATCTCACCAGCATGTCCTTGGAACAATTCTGCTGTTAACATCCAGTGTTCGTGTTTGTGACACATGAGGAAAACAACACGTTTTATTTGCTGGGGTGGCAAGAGTAAAAAAAATAATTATTTTTACAGCAAGAGCAGTGAGAGTCACAAAAAGTGGCCAGTAAAACCCAGAGGCTTGTCTGCAGCTGCGGCA